GATTATATTCTTATCATTAGCATCTCAGTGACAAGGGACCACAATAGATGTGTTCCTGAAGTGACATACATTTTTATGAAATACCCATAAATAATTATTTTAATCACTATGTCGCTTTGAAGAATAATATCATAGAAAAATATTGATTTAAATATTTATTCAAATTTGTTTAAATGTTAAAATATCTGTATAGTATTTTAGAAAAATTAACAGTGAAAAAGTTACATACATTTTTTTATGTTTTCTGAAAAGTTCGGTATCAATATATTTCACGTGATATAAAGAAAACATATTTATTAAAAATACATTTTATAAACAAGATATTCGTTATTATGAAGACTAATATTAAAAAGAAAACAATTGAGAGTGCTGTGGCATTTGCATATTTCAGATGCAAAATATGAAAAATATGCAAATGCCAGAGCACTCTCAAAATTTTACTGGGATTTCAAAACAGATGATTACACCGCGGTAGTAAATTGGGAGTTCGTCGTCAAAATTACACCCTTTTCCGGCCGAGACGAATGATCCAACCTGTGTTTTCTGGAAAAATATTAATAATTTAAATCTGCGTAATAAACGAAAAGAACTCAATGCTAGACTGTAGTCATAGAAATAAGTTTCCATTAAGATATTTTAATTCTGGATAAATATATTATTCAAATTTAACTTTCACAAACCATATTTTAGGTTTATATATTAATTACTCCCCTTTAACCGTTTTAACCTATATTTACACTCAAAATGTTAACCTGAGTTCCCCTTTTAAATTTTAAACTTGCTTCATTTTTTTTAAATTTTATCTTTTTAATGGGTGCCAAACTGCACCCTATTTTCTGTATTTTCACCCCTATGTTATATTTGCCTTATTTTAAATTTGAGATGTCAATTTACGTGTAATTTAGCGTTCCCACATGAAAACCAGTGGACATTTTTTTAAATCATAATTTATATATCGTGCCTGATGAGTTGGTGAAACTATATAATATATATATATATATATATATATATATATATATATATATATATATATATATATGATATTGTTTAAATATGTATACACACATTTGCATTAAATAAAAACGCTATGAGATTTAAAATACCAGTGATAATAAAATGAAGTACATACGATTTTTCGGTAATTCTAATTCACTCTTCCAGTCGAAATATTAAAAATATAATTCCGATCAATGATATACTGGAAAGGAAATAGTTTTTCTTTTTTACTGTATGACTTTTCAGGATTTGTTTTAAAAAGACTTCCAGAGGACCTGTGTCTAAATCAGCTATTCCAACATATTTTTTGAAGCGAATATGGTAATCGAATGTCAATAGGCTGCCACCACTAATCAAGTAAACTATTGTGTAGATTAAATATGTTTGACATTCTTCATTTATTTCCTTGTTGCCTGCAATTTCATCTTTCGTTTTTTTTTGTTTTGTTTTTTCTTTGTTTTCGTAATTTATGTTCAGATTGTTTATTTCGTTTTTTTCTCATATTACACATACTTTGCATTATGGGTAATCATCAAGCCTAGCCTTATCTCATACTGAGGACATTTTTCCCATCATGGTAATCGTACGTTTTATTAATGTTACTTTTTTTCAATATTTGCAATCAGGCTTGGTCTCCCATTGAACTGTTTGATTGACAGAATAATCAGAAGGCAAAAAAGTTGTATGCATTGGCATTCGATGAGAAAAAATGATTATTCGCTATTTTCTAACATTTCATATCATCAGCCTCAAAAGAAAAATAAAAGATAAATATCCTAAAATATTCATACCAGATTATATGCATTTATATCGATTAAACTTATGAAACAAATAAGTTCTTATTGTTTTCCGGAGTGCTGAGATGAAGTAATCTTTTCAATTTATATTTCTGAACAATTAGAGGTACTGAAATGTTCTTATCTCGATCTTAAAGGATTCCAAGGTATTCGGACATTTTGTCATCTGGCCAAATCTATGAAATTCATTTGGGCCCAAACTTTTTAGTTCTCAATCGTAGTAATCCAAATCATTTAGAAATGTCAAATAAACATTACAGGCTACAGAATAACAAAGAACTGTATCAAATAAAAGAAATCACATCGCTCGAGGTCTTTAAACAGCAGAAACGATTAAAATGAATAACACCTGAAACTCGAAGAGAAAAAATAACATTCGAAACGTCGACATTTCACACTACTTCAAAAGATTAGAAAGGAAAACCAATCAATATTATGGAGAACATTAATAGCGAAGTTGATAAACCGATTTTCTTGAAAAATTGTTTTAAGAGAAAGGATTTTTATAAATTTCAACCAAATATAGTACTGACTGCTCGTTTCAATGAATGTCGAATGTTTCCTTATAAGGAAACGGTTAACCTTATCATTTCCATGTCCATAGTTTTCTTGCTTTTAAAACGATGCTTTATTTGTTTACCTTTCTCTCATGTAAGATATAATGATTATATTTAATATTCTGTACAGGTTTCGAAATGTTATCTTCAATTTTTTTTCTAACAATTTTATTTTTCTGCCCACAATGTTTCTGACAACTTTTAACGCCTGTATGTCTTATTTAGATAATTTCATATATTTTTCAAATTATTTTCACCATACTTGTTTTACAGACGATATCACAGTTATTCTTCAGATTTCTTTTAGTGTTTGAAATGCTAAAATGAATACTTTTCGTTGTTTGATGTATGTGAATCTGATGAGAATCGGAAACTGAAAAAAAAAGCTCTGTAAGTTGAGATCTGCTTTTTCTCTTTAAATAATTTTTGGACGCTTAAAATTTAGAGTTTCCTAAACAAAATGAAATATTTTTCCAGAGGAAACAGACAATTTATCCGAGGAGCATATTTTTAATTGCTGCATGCCATTCTAAGATGCGTCGGTTGTTAAAAAGAGTGCGCCTCGGAATGAGAAATCGGTGAACTGAGTTCCAATTCCAGTTGCGTTCATTGCACTATCTTATATCCAAATATTCTTGCGAAAGATATAAATCCATCCCTTCTCTCTCCAACTGTGGGTTAAATACTAGGGCATTCTTGAACCTTTATACTTTGTTGATATCAAGACATGGGCCTCGCCAGTCAATCATGTAGAAGCCTACTTCTTGCTATTGAAACCGTAGTACCAATGCTTAGCGTACTGTTAGATGTGGCCCCATACTCCACAGGGAATCTACGGAATATGGATTTTTGTGACACATATTCTTCGGAATGACTACGAGACTTGAGACCTGTGGCCCCGTAATTCTCAGGGTGTCTACATGAGTTGAAAGCTCTGCCTCATATTCCTCAGGGTGTCTACGGTAATTGAGAACCTTGATCTCTATACTATCCAGGGAGTGTACGGGTCTTGAGAGTTCTAGCCTTTTACTCCCTATGCAATATATAGGCCCTTTAATTTAAGTGTCCTTTTTTTTCTATTTTCTGTAAATCTTCTTCAACGCTCGCATGCTCAGTTCATGGAATTCTCAACATATTTCTGTATACCGATATTTCTGTTGTCTGAAGTCATTCTTCTTTAACGAAGAGATTGTCCAGCATTCACAGCTATATAGGAAGACCAATATTATATTATATATCAGTTCAGTACTTTTTTTTATTGTTTATGGTGATATTTTCCTATTTCTTAATACTTTGCTCAGCTTTTGGAAGGCGTTTTTCGCTTTTCAATTTCGCCTTCATATTTCAGTGTTGTATTTACAGTCTTCTGTAAAAAAAAAATGCTCCAAAATATTTAAAATTTTGTATTTGTTTGATTTTGCTATCTCCAATATGTAATTTGCAAATTGGCCTGTTCCCTTTTACTAACAACCACACCTTCTCTCTTTCTGCAATTGATATTTATTCCTTTCCTTCACAAACTTCTGTAGAAAATTAGAATAATTAACACCATTGTTTCTGTAAGAAATTGATGAACATGAAAGTATAGTATAGGTTCTACATCATTCCAGTATTCTCCTCAAATATGTCATGGTTAACTAACAGATTTAACAGTTCCTTGAGACGCACTTTATCAAACGATTTTGCATATTATATTAAGCATAGTTATCAAAACCTCGTACAGAAGGTAGTGAAGGAGAGCTAGAAGAAAGGACTAAGCATAAACTACAAGACAAAATGAATGGTCATCAGTAAAAGTATGAGTTCGAAATTAGATTTCGCGGACACTAAAATCAAACAGTTGCGGAAATTTAAGTATCTGGGAAGTGTTTTTGACAGAGCAAGGTAAGTGCGATACTGGGACTCGATTACGTATTGGGATGGCCAAAGGTGCATTCCAAAAACTAGGCAGAGTATTACGAGACAGGATGATATCTATGATAACAAAGAAAAGAATACTGAGTTGCTACGTGACATCTGTCCTCCTTTTATGGCAGCGAATGTTGGACGGTCTCCTCAGAGATGAAGAAGAGACTCGAGGCAACGGAGAAAATAATTCTACAGAAGGATGCTAAGGATAACATGGACCGAGCGTGTGAGCAACGATGATGTTTTGGAGAGGATTCAAACAAGGAGGAAGCTTATACTTAACATCAAGAATGGGCAGCTGATATTTCTGGGACATAAAGTGAGAGCTTGGAGAATCTGATATTCACAGGTGGAATAGAGAGAAAGAGTGACAAGGGAAAGCAACGTATGTCGTACCTCGCGGGATGACAGAACATGGCCTGAGGGAAGTACCAAAGGGAGAAAACTTATTGAGAGCTACAAGGGATACAGGGAAGTGGAAGGCCATGATCGCCTACGCACCGAAAGGAGATGGCACATAAAAAGAAAAGATACATCCGTTTGCATTTGTATTGGTTTTTCTGATGCCATTCTGAGTATAAATATTCTCGAACATGCTATCAATAAAGTGAAAGGACATTTCAACAATTCAGTTCAAAAATAATAAAGATGAACACGAAATATGGTTACTACATATTGAATATAAACCAAAGATGCTTAGAATCTATGGATTCCCCAAAATACAGGAGTACAGACACATCACGTTGAAACACCAGTTCCCGTACGATAACAGAAGTTAAGCAATGTCGAGACTGGCCAGTACCAAGATGGGTAACTCTTTTGGAAACCAGATGCTGTAAGATTGGATATGCGGGTGATGTAATAGATAATGGCTCGGAATTGTTAATCGGAGAGCCAGGTTCCAATTCCAGTTGAATTCGTTATATTCACTTACGCGTAAATACCCGTGAGAAAGATATAAATCTACTTCTTCTCCCCCAGTTATGGGTTAATTAGTAAAACTTGTATCTCTAAACTATTATTCTCCAAAAAAAGAATAAAATAAAATTGCGTCTAAAATGTTTAAATTTTGACATTAAATAACCCATAGAGGTTGACATGCCACTGAAAAAATACAACCGATCAACTAAAACTACAGCCAAACATCTAAAACTATAACCAAACAACTAAAACTACAACCAAACAACTAAAACTACAACCAATCAACTAAAAATACTTACTAATGCGACAAATTTTAGTAATTCTTTTAATAACAATTATTCCTTCACCTCACAAACATGAATATAAAAAATCAATATAAAAGAATGGTTTGCCTAGATATTAAATCCATATATATTAACATACTAAATTTTCTAAAGATATCCTTCGAGAAAATCCAAAATCATCCTTTTCCTAGCGATCGACAATCACATAAATATATTATCTTTGCACAAATGCTTATTTTTATTATTATAAAATTTACATATATATATATATTTAATTTAATAAATGATGCATACAAATAACTTAGACATTTTTCCATGATGTCCCTAATACGATACACGTTGATTGGAATTAATTTAAATTCTAGAGTTACAAAAATGCCAGGAGCTAATAGACAACTTCATATCTATAATACTGGCAAAATTCAGTTCTTGATAATGATTGAGATGGTTAAAATTAGTAACAAAAATAAAACCATCTTTATCTACAATTCTAATTTTGATCTACAAAATCTTACTCCAAAATTGTAAAAATATAATGAAATTTAAAAAGACGGACATGATTAAATTTAACAGAACTTATTTGAATATATTCTTAATGCATGTCTGTACCTACCTCTCTCTCTTTCTCGCTCTCTCTTTCCCCTCTCTATCACACACGCAGAAATACACACACACACACACACACACACACACACACACACACACACACACACACATATATATATATATATATATATATATATATATATATATATATATATATATATATATACGTTTCATTAAATAATATAGACAAGTGTTGTCTATTTATTTTATGTAAATTTAAATTACATGATCCAGCAGCCCACAACACTATCAATACTTGGAATTACAAATGTAGCCTTGTGAAAAGGCAAATCGAAATATCCAAAGAAAAATTAAACAACTTTTTACATCTTTGATAATGGCTTGAGTAAGCCGAAAGCTTAGATTATATTAAAAATAATGGATAAATATTGTGAATTTCTTTTTTTCGGTTAATGATAATGTTATCAAACTTATCAGAAGATACGAAAAAAATTTTACATAAAATAAATAGACAACACTTGTCTATATTATTTAATGAAACGTGTATAAATGAAAATATGCTGCCTGAAAATACACACATATATATATATATATATATATATATATATATATATATATATATATATATATATATATATTTATTTATTTGTACATATTTTGAATTTGTTTTTTTTTAAGTTTATCAATTTTTCGAAAATAAAAGTGATTTTTTTTCAGCTTCCTACTATTTAATCTATAGCTGAGATCAAGAGAGAGGTTTATGGCTTTCCTAAGTGTATTTGCATGTAAGGGAATATAACGAACGCGACTGGGATTCGAACTCTGCTCACCGAGTTCTCATTCTGAGCGGCTATCCATTACATCACCCGCACATCCGTGTGCGATTGCGTATGTGAAAGAGAGAGAGAGAGAGGGGGGCAGATAAAGGGAGAGAATGATCGAAAGAAGAAAAAGAGGGTGTGTCAAATCATGGAAGTTTTCCACGATCTTGGCTGAAAAAAATCGAAAATGTGTATTTACTGATCCATTATAAATCTTAGTCGGAGGAAAGAGAGAAGCTCTCAGCGGCCTCCAATGCAATGCTCCCCGCCCCCCTGGCCATCACTCTCGCTCTCTGACTCATAAATATCAATAACCGTGTTCATTGCCAATACAAAATAAATATCGCAGCTTCAATGGCTGAGCATATGAATCAGGACAGTGACGAGCTTCTTTCCACCCGGACGATACGAGCTACAATCCCCAAAGTTGGTTTCAGTCATGGCCCTAGTCGACGTTTTGGGATCATGTCCCGCCAACTATTAACTTCAGCTACGACTAAATTTATAGTCAATGGTGAGTTGCCAGAATTTTGACATCTCCGGAATTGAACGAATGCCAAACCGATTACTTAACATAGGTACCGGCATTTTCTTATAAGGGTCCACGAAAGCTGGGTGAAGGAGTTGAAATGGTCGGACATATAACAGACGTGGCGAAACATCCCCCCCTTCGCCTCAATAATTATTTTTTTTACTTCTTTCCTGGTAAGATCAAAACAATTTACAACTTGTTTATACATCAGAAAAAATCAAAACCAAACATTTCTTTTATCATCATTGAATTTATATTCAACACCCAATGTAAAAATCTAAATATAACCCGAGTATTAATTAGTTCATATTAGCCTTCAGACTAATGTCAATCCGGGGTTATTCTTGGCTAAGCTGTTTTACACACACGGTTGAAGTCTAACACAGTTTATATAGCCTGGAATAAAATACGTTAGGCTAGAATATACCCATTAATTTTTCCTATGTAATAAGATCGATGGTATTATATATTCAGGTCATAATAAGCATGGATACTATGGATCAATATGAGTCCCATGTTTCCAGGCATTACCGGGAGCAAAAAAGAAAAAAAAAACTCAGATGAATTGTGTTGGGTCCATAAACAGTGGAGTAATTGACCAAGTTGAAATTTACTTCATTTTTTTTTCAAATAAAGGTTAAAAAAAAGAATAATAGCAAGCTAACAATATCTATGCAAAGCGAAACTAGACAAGGGAATAGTCATAAGACAAAACATTCAGAAAATAAGAATTCAAGCACACGTAAAGGGGATACAGTCACCTGATTATAACGCTCGGACAAGAAATAACAAAAATATGATGGATGACAATTGCTCATTTTTATTGGTTAGGGCGAAATCCAAGCATGCATTTGTGGAATTTATGTATAAATCCATCAGATTAGAACTAACAACAGCCCTTCTTTTTTTTCTCCGTTTCTTTGGTTTGCAAATCTAAGCTTCTGAACGCTTATTGATTTTTGTCAAAATAATTGAAAAATAGTCATTTTCTACTGACTACTGTTGTTTTGTGTGTACAGCCTAAAGGCTACGTTTATTGAACAAGCTTGTATATTCTCAATCATTCTGTTTTACTTTTCCTCAATATTTGTATTAATTGAGAAAGTGTAGATTCTTTTGGAGGATTTGATTACGGATGAATTAATTCATATTAGCCATTATTTATTGTTTGTAAACTATATAACCTGATAGTTAAGAAGAACTGTTAATACTAATAGTAAAAGGAGCAACAATTGACCTTCTATGGTATCATTTAGACTGGATTATGTTATACTTCAATATATGAAGTATGTGTTCCCCAATCATACAACCCGGTGACTACACTAAACTATTCATTGATAAATCCTGGAATGAGTTTAATCTAGGCTTCTAAACAGCATCTTTTTTCTGACTAGTTATTTTCCCCTATTGTTGAAAACGAAATTCTTTAGCTTGCATATATAATAACGACTTTCTTTGACACGCAAGGAAATATTTTTCGACATTATATTTAAATGCAGATGCTTGCTCAATATGTATTTGTGATTGTCGCCTCAGGTCAAACAAAACTATGATGGTCGAAATATCCAGCACCTTCCTCAGTATCGTGGCAGACCACACCTATGAAATCTAATCTGATTCTAATTTTTCTGACAGTGCGTCTCTATTAAGAGGACATTAGTATATATGTTATGAAGGTCTTAAGCTCACGATTGACGTCCCGGTTTTTTTTTTCAATTTCTTTCTTCATAACATGATTTAATAGTAAAGCGACGTCAAACATTTCCTTGCTTATCTTGCTTTAATAGTGTAATGGGAAAGGACCTAGAAAACTTACATCATGATCTGAAAATATTATCGTAAAGCTTCAATTTCTGATGACCATGGCCGGAGTATTTGTTAATGAGATGAATGTTTTATAGGAAGCTAATGATAGAAAGATAGTTATATAAGCAGTATGGAAGAGATTGGATAATTCATTTTTATTAATGTTTCCTTCAATTCCTGATACTGGAAACTTTATTTCAAGCTGATTTCCTATATATAATAATAACGTGTGATCATTGCTTTTAAAGAAAATATAAGGTCGAAATATTTCGTTCATGGTTAAGAAATCACTACTGAAAAATGTTTCGTTGTTTTAGGGCTAAAAATTGTCAATGTAAAGACGAGAAATAAAAAATGGGGGTTAGCAATAACACAGGCATAGGCTGGTAAACGAAATAAGCATTGTTTAAAATAAACAGGGAGTCTACCGGAACACAGATAACCATCTGAAGTAATAAAATTGTCATGCGATTGTTTCTCATGCCTGTAATTGTAGGATCAAATAGTTTGATCAAATGCTTATATATCGATGAACCCTGTTCATTTCATCCATGTCTTCCCTGAAGAACACCGTGTGTAAAGTGTACTCTTACATCATCTTAAATGAGATACATATTAGACAGTGTGCAAAATCAATCCGTTTATTTAAATTACATTCATGAGATATGTCATTTTCCTTGCACCGCCATAACTTGCAGTCTATATATATGTAATTAACGCAAATCAAAATTTTAATTGCTTTGTTTGCAACAAATAATAACTAATATTATAATGTCGGTCGCGTGGCCGAGTAGTTACAACGTTTGTTTCTGACCATGAGACCCGGGTTCGAATCTCACCATGGTCAATCTGTCAGAAATGAGACTTCTTGATGTTATCGGTCTGGACGGAGGACTTTGGAACGTGTC